TTTTTATTTATTTATTTTATTATTTATTTTTTTTATTATTATTTATTTTTGGACTTATTTTATGCCACTCCTCTTAAATCCCCGCTTTTTGCCACGAAGATATTCTCTGTTTAAGAATTTTCGATTATAGTTCCTGGTAAATATGTTCAACAGTTTTAAGATCTGGCGATTTCGAGGTGGTGCCTTAGTTACTTCTGGACACTTACATAACAGCCAGAGTCTAACATTGTGCACAGTATGCTTTGGATCATTGTCCTGGTAGAATTTTAAATTATTTTGTATATACAGTGCTGACGATATCAAGTTTCGCTTCAAAATATCAAGGTACTTATGCTGATCCATAATACCATCTATAAACTCTATATTACCAACAGCGGAATGTGCCATAGATCCCCATACTATAGCTCTTCCTCCGCTGTGTTTAACACTTGGTACTAGAAATTCTTTTTGGGTTTTCTCCACACCAACACTCGTCCATCTTAGTCGAAGATGTTAAATTTGTTTCCATCAGCAAACAACACTTTTTTCCAGTAGTCGGGTGCCTTTTTTTTTCATCGATTTTGCAGTCGAAGTTTTCGGGTTTTTTTTACTGATATAAAAATTTCTTCTTGCTACTCGCCCATCGTACACATCGCATCACTCTTTTTACTGTTATTGGATTTACACATATTCCATATAATTCATTAAGTTCCACAACAAGCTTAGAAGCACTCAGTCTGGGATTCTTTTATTATATCTTAGAATAAATAAAGTCCTTCATTCAATCAGATAACTTAGATGGTCTTCCAAGTCTTCTTTTGTTTTGAATACGATTCTGTTTCTTATAACGCTTAATAAAAACAGAAACTATAGAATTACTTAAATTAAGTAAATAGGCAGTTTTTCCTAATTTTTTTTTTTTTTAAATTTTATTTATTTATTTTTTTTTAATGCGAATCACTAATCTGCGGGTTTCTAACGATGCTTCTTTTCGTGACCGAGCCATTGTAGGAAAGCATTAAAATAACGAATATTTTCTAAAGAAAATTTGAATTATAAAAGCAAACAATTTTTGTATTTTTACCTAGATTCTTTATCCAAACTAATTGCATAAAATTTAATTTTTTTAGTGCAAACGATTTTAATTAGAAATTATGAAAATGTCCGATTAATTTTAGTGCATCTTTTCTTCCATTTCAGCCTAAAACGTTATTTTTTTTAATTTAATATTTAATTTTATCAAATTTATTTAGCAGAAAGAAAGAGCTAAGAAAATATATATTCAAAGGCAAAACATTCTTTATTATTTTATTTTAAGGCTTTTCTCCTATTACTTAAAAAATTAAAAACCTTATAGAGGTCGATTATTTTCATGAGACATTGTATATTTTGGAAAGTATAAATTATCGTTTGCTATTTGACAGTTTTATTTTCACGCAGAATGGCGCATTTAAAGAAGCAATGGAGAAAAGGCTATGTTTATGCTCTTTTCGAAGAAAATATTCGTATTTAGTTAAATTCTGTGAAAGGCATGTTTTTTCGATATCTAAAGATACGATGCGTAATATTGTCAACAAAAAATCCGCTAAGTCAAAGGGCAGTTGCAAAATCATGAAAATGCTCATTGGGAACTTTAAACAAAGGAATTAAAGTCGATTTGAATCTTAGAAAGGCGAGAAAACGCAATATGCCTCGTTTTCTCCACGACATATCACCGAACGCAAAACGCGCTGTAGAATTTTTTATGAGAAACACTTTTCTAGACAAAAATGGAAAAATATTATCACAATAGACGAATTACAGTAAAAAGAGGTTCATTTATGATCATCAAAGTGTAAGCACGTATTATTTAAAGTAGCATAGTTGCTATTTAAAATCATGCAGAAAAGCAGTACTAAAGCAGCTAAGAAATAAACAATTAGGCAATATTGAACAAATAATGAATGAATGAATAAAAAATAAAGGTGTAGACATCAATAAGGAATTAACAGTACTGAATTAATCATTAATGAAATTAAATGGACTCTTGTTGTTAAGACACTGGCTTTACCCTGAAATACATATTTTCAATAAAAAAAGTAATAATAATAAGTGCATATATTTTTACTTCCTTTTATGAAGGAAAGGAAGTATTGTAATTGCGAAAAATTTTGGGTATCATATTTCAAAGAAAATATCCTTTTTGTTCGCTCTCGAATCCATTAGGGAATTTTTTTTTTGCGTGACATCTGTACGTCCGGACTGAATAAAGGACTGATTTTTCTATAATGGATGTTAAAATAGTTTTAAAAGGGATTCAGAAGGGATTTTTTTTTTCTGACGTATGTATATAGGCATGTACACTCTGAGCACAAAAAAGGACTTACATCGTGTAGGGGAATTCTTGAACATGCATATCAGCTTGCTTACTTTGGTAAATTGATTAATAAGATGAATATGATTAATAATAAGATGGATAAAAAAAGTATTTTTTAAGATTACATATGCATGACAAGGACGAAATACGATGTCTTAGCAATTGGGAAGAGAGTGAGATAAACTAATTTTACCGATGAATCCCTGTTTTTTTTTTCCTTTAGCTAAATGCAATAGTTGTACAATTGACAACAATTTATTACTTAAAACTGTGAAAATTAGTATGGTGTAAAATTTTAAGAATGATTATCCGTAATAATTAATGGGTATATATAATTTTTATTATTGTGATATTGCGTGTGAAAAGTTTTGGAAATTCTTCCCTGAAGTATCAAAATTGTGATGCGAATATTCCAGAAAAAAGAACTTTTTTACAGATTGGACTCAAATCTTAATAGGGCTCTAAAAATGAGCAATTACTTTAAAAGACTATAGAGCTTAAAATTATTATTGAATTCAAAATTTTACGACTTATAATGTTTTTAATTGTTTAAAAGCTAATTTTGTGTTTTGTACTTTCAAAATTATATCTCTCATATTTTGCTGCTCTAATACTTTTTCTCTCAAAAAGGCTTGTCCATCGCTGCGCCTTTTTCTCTTTGAAGGGGAGGATGTGTAAGATACAAAATATGAAATCAAACTTCTAATTTTAATTGGCTATAACCTCTTTTGTTTTTTACTTAATTTGGAGACTTCCTCTCTCTATCGTAAAAATAGCGCTATAAGTCTAAACTGCGTCATTCAAATTAATCATGCGTTCCTACGTAACGCTTAATGTAGATAACTCTCGCCCAATTGCAAACCAAAACTTTTTAACTCGGAACCAAAACTTTTTACTCACTCTCTCCTTTCTTTGAATTGCAGCCTTCTTTTTCGCTTAAGCTTTAATCTTGGCAAAACACTTCTCATCCCCGCCGCTGCTTATTTGCCTAAAATGACATCGTATTGTAAAACCTGTGTACATGGAAATTGTTGCATTCAATTAGGATATTAAAACCTTACATACATGTACTATATACCCACTCTGTTACATGGCCTTCATTTTCGCAATTTTTGGTCGTAATCGTATACTTCTAATTACAGAAGTGTTTTAAATGACGGAAATACTGCTATTTTAGTCGATGTCAAATCTAAAAATAAAATTAATGTTCAACAAGTAACAAATTAAAACTTTTACTATGGTCTTCCGAGTTCTTTATTAATTTTAGGAAATTTTTATACTCGTTATGAAAAAATAAAATTATAAGAAGTTTGAAACCTGTACAACAAAAATGAACCGGGATATTTTATTTCTTGCAACTTTTGATGTCATTTTCAGCTTGCCTTTAGGAATCAATTAATTAAGTTAGAATAATTCGACGAAATAAGTTTAAAAGAAGTGGAAGGAAGTTATGTGAGGTCTACCTGAGATTTTTTGTTTTTGATATTATGGGAAGAAAACCCCTTTCCATTATCATTAAATTAAATATAGAGAACAGGTTTACAGATTTACATTAAATAATTTTCCTGTCTTTACCTAGAAAGTTATTGACATCAAATTGCAGGAAGAAGAAACATAGTTAAGCAAACAACAAAAATTTCCGACAAACATAACTTATGAATTTAGCTTTTCAGCCAGCTTAGAATGCTAAAGGCGAAGCGAATTTACAGTAAAGCTGCCATCTTTGCTTAACTCTTTGAGGCGCAGGAAAAGGCAATTAACATTTTCAGCAAAACTCCTGTTTTATTTACTATATCAGGTGTTACAATGAAATTATTTGAGACAATTACACATATTTTGTCCAAGACGCGTGAAAAAAATGACTACTTCTGATGGTTAGTGTCAGTGACCACGGCCCACAGAACACATCCTACAAATCAGTCTCATGGTATTCATGGAAACAATTTTTCTTTTTCAAGCAGAGTGCAACTTTGCATGTGCTGCATTCCCACACTGTTCTTACAGGCTTTTTCTTGGTACTGCAGAGTGCACATCGTCGTGATGTTGTCTTCGATGGGCTGAGGCTTATTTTCTTGAACGAACTGCTATTTTCTTGAAGACGAATTGCTGCATCAACTACTGGCTTATGTTTCTTGATTGTCATCTAGTGAGCTACAAGGGAACTTTAGAAACGGTCAGTCTCGAAAACCACTCAAACGAGTAGGACGTTCAGTAGAAAAGGGGGTTACTGCAGCTAATCACCGCCCTTCAAAGAGTTAACATAACCCAAATACTGAAACTGTAAATTGACTGGATGAAAATTGTAAGTGTTAGTTACAATGTGTTTTACACATCCAAATCAGTTTCAGGGTAGAAAAGAACATGTTACTGTTCCTAAATTCTCTGGGTCTTGAAAATACTAGACCAAATTCCAAAAGACTGTAACTTCACCCAGTAGTAAAACTATATAGAAATATTTTCGGACAATTTTAACGAAACAATTATATTAAAGCGCTTGGAAGAAATGTTTTCTAAAATTTCTGAGCTATTGGAATTGGATTAAAGGTAATCTTCATACTGAAATAGAAAACGTGTTTCTTATCAAAAGAAAAAATTAACTCGTTTCATACCGAGGAAAGATTTAAAATAAAGATAATTTTAAATAGTGTATTCTTTTTGCTTTCAGGTATGGTTCCAAAACAGAAGAGCCAAATGGAGGAAGAAAGAGAACACAAAGAAAGGACCAGGTCGTCCGGCTCATAATGCGCATCCTCAGACATGTTCAGGCGAGCCCATTCCTCCAGCAGAAATTGCAAGAAGGGACAGGGATCGTAAAGAAAAGAAACTGAGAAAGCAACTAGAAAGGCAAGCGAAAAGACTTCAGCAGCAGCAAAAAATAGGTAAGAGTACTTACTTCTTAAAATATTAACACAAAAATGTGAATAATAATTATCAAAGCATTGAAATCAGTTTATTCTTTACCAAGAAAACGAAAAATAGTGAAAGGACCAATAATTAATTATATGAGAATCTTAAGAACATAGTCCAGGCTAAAGAACTCTTCAAACTGAAAATATTTTCACCGATCTTTTTGTTCTTAAAGGAAGACAACTTGCTTCTTCAAAAACTTCACAGTTGATACTTTTGCCACTGCTACTCATATTTCAGCACTTTATTACTGCTCTTTTTCCCATACTTTTTGATAATTATGACATACATTGGACAGGATTATTTAATTAAAGTAAAATACAGTACTAGTATGCCCTAAACCTCCGTTTTAGTTTTTGGCCAGATACACTTCAAATTACTAAAAACGTTAAACAAAAGGCAATGCAAAGCTCATCTAAAGAGAAAAGTAACCCGGAAATATCTCAGCATTCCGATCTCAAGCTGAACTAACAACTCGCAGTAACGACAAAACAACTGAGAGCAGACGTTTTCTCTCCGGCGTTATAGAGTTCCCCCCCCCCCCCGCCGGCAGACATATTTTTATTACTTTCTGATTCTCGAGATTACTGGAAGGCAATACGAGTGTCGAATTGCGGTTACAGCTAATACAGTGACCAATTACTTTTATTCAGTTACAATACCTATTACGGTGATACAGGAACCGGACTCAAATGAATCCAAAGGGTCGCCAAGTTTGACGACTTTCGGCGATTTTGAGGATAAAATTAGTCACCAAAACCATTGCCAGCTTGGCGATATCTCGCCAAATTACCGAGATATAGACTTCGCCCCTGTATTCTTACGTTTTTGGCATAGCTTATCTCTTAACATTTTTCGATTTACGTTCCATAGAAAAATACAACAATTTCACATATAATTGCACGAAAATCATCTACTTATGTACAAAATTCGTAACAATATGTACTATTGTACAAATTAATAATTGGAATTTGTAAATAATTAAACTGAAATAGTTAAGTAAAAGGCAAAACTAAAAAATAAAACAAGATAACTATTGCTGATTCACAGAAAAATCCCGACTTATCAAGCGGAAATGGGACCCCTCTATATTCATGAGAGGCGCATTTCGTCATTTGGCATTTCTGAATAAAATCCCAACTCTAATTTAAAATTTTCTGTTCAATTATATAAAATCCCAGCTCAAATCTTAAAGAAGCACAGAAATGGGAAATAATTTTCCAACACGTGGACAGACAATTAATTACAATTAATTTAAAAATTAAATATAGAATTTATACAGAAAATTATATATATATATATATATATAAGTGATTAGTTTAGGCTGCTGGCCGCGCTAGAACCTAGCGATTTGAAAAGTGAAACGGACAACGACAATGATTCGCTGTAAAAGTGAAGTTTGAGAATAATAACCCTTAAGGTCTAAAAATGATGGCAACACTTATAGTTTTATCGACAATTCTAAACATGCCATTTTGAAGAATTTTGTGATTTTGCTCTTGCATTTAATGTGGTGTAAGGGCGAAAAAAGTGACAATTAACGATAAAATTACAAATGAAAAAAAAAAAAAAAAAAAAGCTGTGTGAGTAAGTTGGTGTCGAAAGCAAATAGATAAACTGCAAACTCGACTAGAGTATAAAAAAATTTAACCTCTGGTAAAGTAATGTTAAAATTCTGATTTATTTATTTATTTATTTATTTGTTTAGCAAAAACTTAATATAATTTTGAATCGTTTAAACTTGTAGAATAAAAAGATTAATCTGAATAACAAATACTGGTAATCAAAAATGAAAGAAATTTGTATTAAATATGGCAAAAAATTCATTCTGTTTACATTCTATATACACAAGTTATTAATATTTCATGCATCGAGTTGCTACTGCACGATCCTAATTCTTTTTTAATTTCTCTGTTATTACACGCAATTAAACCCAAATATGTTTTTGTGATATTATTATTCAACCGAGCGGCAGGAAATTACGCGAGAGAAGACAGCTGAAATTTCATTGACGGCGAGATTCTGGTACTGTAGCGTTTTCAGACTCACGATAAAAAGAAAAACATTTTCAGTCGGATTTCCCATTGCGAGATAAACGCCTTCGTGACGTTGCTTTCGAGCTTCTGAAACGAAACACGGAAGATATATTTCAGAGTTGTCAACACCTATTCCAAACTCGATTTATTTAGAATAGCCTTACGGACATTATTTCTTGAAGTTTTTCACCTGAAACGGTCGTTATTGAAATTGATTTTATGCATTAGAATATTCAACTTGCCTGAATCATTTTCACATGTTTAAAGCTGAAAACATTTTTTGAGATATCTATGTAATACTGCATCCTGCATTAAATAGTTCCATGCGAAGTTTACAGAATTATACAACCATCAATCAAATGGAAGAGACATAGGGCCAGTGTAAAATTTTAAAACTAAGCAATGCCCTCTTCTTCTGGAGAAAGAAAAATTGCTCATGAAGGAGAGGGACTTATTTTTCATGACCGTCGAAATCGAGAGAATTTTATTCAAAATCTAGGCCTGACTATGCTTATTCGTTTATCCCTAAACTTAAATTATGCAACGATAATACCATCGGCTGTGCTTAACATGTTCACGTTTGTCCATAGATATTTTGATAAAATTAAAAGCAGAGAAAATATATCCTTCGAAACAGTAATGGAATTTAAGTAATTTAATATAAATACTTACTTTCAAAGCATTTAAATAAGGGAGAAAAGTCGTAACTAGTGGATTATTTGCAAAGTGTTATTCAAAAGTTCATTTAAACTGCTCGTAATATTTTCGGAAATGCTGTTTCCATAATCTTAATATTCAGAGCGGGACATTTATATAAGCAATTTATAAGGAATTCGCCGATTTTATGCATACCTTCTTTATAAATTTTATTAAATTATACGTTCCAATGTATTTCAGAAAGCCACAGGCAGATATCTTTCGTCCTCTTCTTCTGTCTGAAGAAGAGAGGCCTGTGTCTGATGGCTACCGAAACGAACACAGTTATTCAAAATCTGAGGCCTAACTAAACAAAACGTTGCTTTATTGCCTAATTTTAAATGGTTGATTAAAATCCAAACCGAGCAATTCGGTGACCTTTGTTTTAGTTTATAACCAATTATTTTATATTAAGCCGCTTTCCTGTCTTTCTCGTTTTCATTTTACTGCCAGAATATAAATTTCTAGTTGGCGAGATATTCAGTTTAGGTAGAAAGAAGAAAGTATTTCAAGGAAGGTTTTAGAGGGTGGAATTAGAGCGTCTTCTGCCTGCTGAATGCCACGTTGCTAAAGTGGTTCTCCTGCTAGTAGTATGCAGTTATTCTCTATAGTTCTTATTCTCGCCGTTAGGCTTGTTACGACGACCTTAGATCGAAGCCAGCTTGCGTGTTATTTTAATTGTGCAGCCGTTAGGCTAACTAACTATAGGTTTAGTTACTCAATGTCCTTGACTTAAGCCATGATTGTTGGCTTCTGTAAGTACGAGTGGTGCCGTCTGTTAGCTTTTATTTGAGTCAGATAAAAGGGTTCTTTACACTCTTTGCCTGTCTCTGAGGTACTTACAAGACATAGTGATAATTCACTACTAGTCTCTACAATGTTTCATATATAAGCAAAGACGACGAAACACAACTTCATCCATTTTTTGGTGCCTTTTTTTAGCTTTTGGTTATTTTTCAAATTTATTTTGACCTTTTGTCCAGAATTTACTTCGGTAAATTCATTCTATAATATTTTGATAAAATTAACCGAAATGTTGATCACAATAAGAGGTAAATTTTTCATGATTTCGTATTACAAACGGGTGGGGTATCGGTACTTTGATAACAGTATCCGGTTGGTAACATTAACTGCGATTATATTAGGGGGCCTCTGCTGTATAGTACTGAATAGTTCTTGCATAGAACATTCCACTTGCCTAAACTATCGTCGTCGAAAATAAAGCGGTTCAGTAACTTCGCAGTTTAAAATCATGGTTGTCGAAAATATCATGGTAAAAAATAAAGCTCCGACAAATCATCCCATGACGATAACACCCCAGACATGAGTTTTTCAGGCTTTATAAGTTCTAAGTACATATGCGTATAATGACTTGTGAGCGCAAGAAGAAAAGTGGAACATATTTATTTTTATAATTCATAATTTTGAATTATTTAATATATTTTTGCTGAAAAAGTGAAAAGGAAACCTGTGCATTTAAAAACAGATAACTAGTAGAACATTAATGTAACTTATAGATAGCACTTAACAGAAGTTTTAAGCTTACATAGCAAACTAATAAAGGTCATAAATAAATTAATCTTTTTTATAAAGTTTTACTGATAATTTTTCCTGAAAAACATTCTCTAAAAACGTTTAGAAAAAGGAAGATCTTTAACTGTATGACATTACCTCTATAAAAAATGTTTAATTAATTGCCAAATTATTTTTTTTTCACTTTTGTTAATCTGATATTCTTTTAGTGAAAATTATGTGTTTTGGTTACGTTTATTCTTTAAGTACTGTTAATATTTTCATGTATAGCATGCATTTGGATATCAATTTGTTAGCTATGATGAAAGATACATAATATTTCAGCCGGGTATTTGGATTTATTGAATTACACAAAAGCATACTAGGAATATTTGCTTAAAGGAAGAAACGTTCAAGAATTGGTTTATATCCACTTTATACATTAGGAAAATCCCGAGAATTTCATGTAGCCACCTCGTTCGTCCTGTCGAAATACCAGTATTCAGCGACTTTACCCTTCGGTCACTGGCGTCAGTTCAGCAGGGAAATTAAAATAAATACGTTCGTTACAGAATCAATCATATGTTTCTGATTCCAAAAATGTTTTCAAAGCCATAGATGTTAGATATAGTACCAGTTATTCTTTTAAGGAACTGTGTACAATACTAAATTTAATTTTGAATAAATTAATTTTTTTCTAAAGATTAATGTAGTGGTAACAGACCTTATGAAGAGAGATAAATAAAGACAGTCATGACGGCGTTTGTCAGAGAATCAGAAGCAACAGGGAATCAATGAAATAGATTTCAAAAAGTGGAATTGGTCAAAACCACAGTACTTTCAATTCATCATACCTATTTCACTTATTTTTATAGCTCTCTTTTTTTTTCACTTCTTCGTATTTATATGCGTATTTCATTATTTATATAAACTTAAGTTTTATTTCTTAAATACATTAAATCGAAAAGCACATTTGTATAATTTTTGTCTATAAAAACTGAACATTAAATTCTTTTAAAGTTATTTTGTCAGATTAAACCATGTTTCGGGAAAATCTGTAAATTTCCCTTAACGATCTAAAGTAGTATTTAGAAAATAGTAAATGCACATAGCATAATTTTGAAAATGCATTGCTTGAAATTTATATAATCAAAAAAATTACTTAATTCTTGGAAAATTATCTTCCTCAGATTCAACGTACTTTTCATTCTCAGCTACAAAATTTGAATTCAGGATGTTTTTAAAATACGTATAAATAAGTTTGACTTTCTTGATGGAATACAGCGGCTTTCTCATCACCCGAATTATGATTTCCTTTATTTATATATATATGAGAGGTATTAAAAAACTATAATACTGATATTTAAAAATATGTAGCATCTTCATTTCGTAAGCGATGATTAAAGAGGTAATTTTTCATGATTCCGCAGACTAGACAAGGAAATTAGGAAAGAAATGGGAGCTTCTAATTTTAACAATGGAACCTTTAGGATAAGCGGGATTAAAACTAATATAGAATTAAACCTAGCTCAGGTGATTAAAACTAATATAGGATTTTCTTAATGTATAACGTGAATATGAACCAGTTCTTGAAAAGGTACTCCACAAAGGCATGTGCTTTTGTTTAATTCAATAAATCCATATACCCGGCTATTATGTAGCTGACTTTCATTATCCTAACAAATTGACATCCATATAATAAACTGCACGCTATACATGAAAATGTTAACGGAACTTAAAGGAAAAACGGAACCAAAGCATATAATTTCCACTAAAAAAATAAAAGAATATCAGATTAACAAACGTGAAAGAATATAATTTGACAATTTATTAAACAATTTTTATAGAGTTAACGTCATACAGTTACAGGTATTCCTTTTTCTATATATTTTTTAGAATATATTTTTCATGAAAGATTATAAAAAAGAACTTTATAAACTTTATAAAAAAGATTAATTTATTTATGATCTTTATTAGTTTGCTATGTAATTTAAAAACTTCTGTTAAGTTCTACTAATTACTACTTCATTAATGTTCTACTAATTATCCGTTTTTAAATGCTCAGGTTTCCTTTTCACGTTTTCAGCAAAATTCTGAAAAACGCATGTCTGTGATGTTATCGTCATGCGATGATTTGCAGGAGCTTTATTTTTTACTACGTTTTAGACGACAATGTTTTTAAACTGCAAAGTTATTGAAATGCTTTATTTTCGACGATATTTTGTACCATGATGTTTTAGAACTGCGATGTTTTCTCCCACGATGTTTTGTACCACGACGTTTTCACCTTGCGTTGTTTTCTCCGCGGCGTTTTCGTTCACGATGTTTTTGCCGCAATGTACTCGACGGATACCTAAATGAAGCGTGATAAATTACAGTTAACTATCACAATATTATTTCTGGAAAAAAACGCATTACTAATATTAACATCGCCATATCTAATAAGGTATCTTCATTTCTACTTTTCTGTAACTCCTATCTCGCCCGTCTTTATTGTTGCCTCTACTACACCTTAGCCTCAGATTATCCTGTAAATAATTAGAGATGGTCAATGTGAAGCCAATTAGGTGAAATTATAGACTGAATGTCAGTCCGGGCTTGCTTCGCAGTAACTTGAGTTCTTGTGTTAGGGTGGCAAGTTAGAAAGGAAAGGTTCGACGTGATCTTCTCAGATAGCTTGTGAGAGTCTACCTTTGTGTTTAAGAAGAACACAATCAGTATGGGAACGAATCTATTTTAAAATTTAGGGGAGTTCTTTCTGTAAAAATATTTAGGAAGGGGAAAATTTGGTTTTTTTTTTTTTTTTTTTTTTTTTTTTTTTTTTTAATTTTTAGAACTTGGCTCCCCTAATTTAGCGGGAAAAGTGGTATTTTATATATCAGTTAAAAACTTAAAGGCGATATTGCGTCATTCATAACGAAATGCTATACAAAGCTCTCTTAAATAGACAAGTAACCTTATCATGTGTAGCATTACTCACATTTTATACGTGGCTCAAAAGGAACATAGTAACATTCTCCGTCGGATATAAGGAAACATGAGATATTGTCTCGTGTCTTCCCCAAAAAAAATTCCTAACCAGGTTCTTTTTTTTATCGTCGTTGGACTGTGTAGTCGCTATGATGAAGGAAGTTTAATATATTCTTATTAGGTGAGGAATTTTTGCATTTTTTGCACCGTAGTATAACAACCGTTGTAACGATAGTAAGCAGTGTAATTTTTCGATTATGTAAGTAAGTTTTCGCTGTAAAGAGTGTAACTGAAGTTTCATTATTATCTTCTTATCTGAAGAGACATCTCTTTATTCTTTTTTTCAAAATATCTTTAAAAATATTTTTCAAAAAGAAAAAATCCAAAATTTTCCAAAAATATTCCATAATGAATTTAATTTAATCCGTTTGAAAAAATTTCGTAAGTATAATTATATAGGATTATTAACATTTTGGGTTCAAATAATATTATTTCTAGATTAAGCTTGAAATAAATTATAGTCACAGTTAAAAATTAAAAACAAAATTCTTTTCTTCATTTGCAGGTAAAGGCGGGTCAAGCGGGATAGCAGAATCTGTGAGGCAAACCCTAGGTGACCTCGTTCGGCTAAGTCCTCGTAAAGATTCTCAAGCTCTTCTGGGACACGAATTGCACACCCTTCTCGAGTCACTCGGCTTTAGGCTGCCTCACGTTTCAGGTAACTTAACGTAATCTTTGAGAATTCTAACATAAGTTTATGTTACCTCGGTGTAAATCTCTTATGCTGGGAAACGGCTGCGTTAAATTTATTGCCACAACTTAAAAAATGCTCCTGAAGCAAATGTTTCACAAATCAACAGTTTTGTATTCTTTTATATTAGGTGAGGCAGAAAAGAAAGGGGCTTTTAGGAAACTGTATATTTAAATCAGACTTATTATATCACATAATCACCTTCAGAGTATTTTCAGCGACTTCTCGCACATAAGTATACACATATATTTCGGAAACACATATATTTCGGTATTTTCATACTGAAAATAAATCAACTATAATTATTCTAAGATATATTACAGACGTTCTTTGTTTATAAATAGAAATGCTTTATTCATAATTTAAAAACATTTTCTAATTTTTTTTTTCTATTTGAATAAAGGTGCAATTCAGTATTCTGGGAACAGCGAACATCTTGAGTACACAGACGACGATGTGGAAGATACTGATGACACCGGAGAACGCCAGCCGCACATTACAGAACCTTCCAAAGACCAGTCCCTTGAGATACACAAGACGAAAAACCCTTTTAGTATTGCCAACATCCTCGCCTCCGACTGCAGCAGGAACAAGGTCCGGCAACTGCATGCTTTTCCTGCAATGCTTCGGCAACCGGCTGGATTTCTGGTAGCTCAGAGGAACGAAGGAGCCGACAGGTCACCAACAAATCGCCGAACGAGTCTGACAGACAGTTGTGCCAGTAGCTGCGGTTCCTCCCCAACAAGTCCAGACAGAGATTTTGAGATGCCCTCGCCTCCTGCATCAAACTATCCTTTGCTGAATCCGGGATAAAAACACTCAAAGATTGGACAATTATTCCTGAACCTCACACTCTCTCATTCGAATAACAACCTAATCTGGTCATCCACCATTTACTTCTTGCTGTCGACAATGTGCTGCATTCTTCAAAGACATTATGTAAAGAAGAAAGCAGAGACTGTACAACAAACAGAATGTTTATTCTTCTTCAGCTTCATGTAATGTATTTATTAAAATATTCATCAAGTACATTTTTTATTTCTAGTATTTCTTTAAAAAAGAGAGAGAGATCCCGTTTTGGGAAAGATAAATTTCTCGTCATTATTACAATCAGAGAGAGTACATTATTTAATGAGTGTAAATTTTTAATAATAGTTAAGCGGGGCAATTCAGCGATTCATGTAACGAAATTTTCACACTTTAATATTTCAAAAAGAACTATTTGGGTTTACTTTGAGAAGCAATTAGAAATCTTTTCAGGACACTTACAATTCACTTTCATGATGTTAAGTAAATCGAAATGGCTTACTGACTTAATTTTCAAGAAAAAACATTTTTATTCCTATTTATTATTCTTTAATATCAGTTCTAATCCTAGTAATTTGTTGACTATAAAATAATTCTTTTTTCATTGAACACTTTACAACAGTATGAGAACATGAGCATATTTCACAATGTTATTATGTTTGTAAATAAGACTGATATTTCTGTTATGCTACGAAATTGCTCTATAGTAAAATTCACATCTTTAAAACAGAGCTAATTAAATGAATTTATGCAAAAAATATTGGAAATCTGAAAATATTTCATTATTAGATAAAGTGTCGTATTTTAAATTTGAATTATACTATAACTAAAATATCTGATGTGTACACCACATGACTTCCTTGTACGGAATATTAAATTATACGGATTTTTTTCTTGCATTTCATTTAAACTTATTAGGTTGAATTAAACCTACTTCGCCTGCCGACAGCGCATAAACCACAATAGAATACATGCATTCTTTAAAATTCACTTTGTTTACCATAGCGACACTCTGGCACTAGGTTTATTTAACAGTATTATGTTTCGTTCATATTATAACTCAGAATGCACAAAATTTATATCATTTAAAGAATTATCTTATCGTTGCCACATGTTCTATTCAAATACTATAATAAAGCTAAAACTATGTATAAAGAAATTAAGCAAACAAAACAAAAAAGGAACAGTTTTTCACAGACGATTGAGTATTTCTCATTCAATTAATTCAGTTTTCACTTCGCGACAAGGCAAAAATACATAAAAACTCAAAATATCTGTATTAAAAATTACGAAGTAAATCTTAAACACTTATTTCCTCGAAAAAAAATTCCAGAAAGGATAAAACATGATTTAATTTGCAGTAATAAATGAAGGCGTTATTTTTGTGTCTCTCTAGATTGGCAACAAATCTACAATTCTGCTGTTTCAAATGTAAACAAATATGTCCGCCATGTTATTTAAAACTTAACCGCACTTAAACAGCTTTTAAGGGGACGGTGGACTTTAGAATAGCTAAAAATCAACCAAAATATTGAATTTGTGTTTTTACTCTCATAATATTCCATATACATAACTACATCGTATGTAAAAAATAGAGTTCAAATATTCTAATTTTTAAAGAAATTACAAGCATTTAAAAATGTATCAAAAACGTAAACTTTGGAGAAAAATCTAAAAAAAAATGTATTTCAACAGTTATTTACTGATGTAATAATTTATATATTTGCCCCAAAAAAAAGTGCTTATTTCTGAAAAAAGGCTAAAAATGTCTTTATTGACAATTATTAATGAATTTAACTTTGTTATGTGAATGTTATACGCCTAGAACAGGAAGAAAATCTCGTTTTCTCTACTCATTGCAAAAAAGCGTGATCAACGTCGCTTGAACCAAAGAAAAAAGAGAACTTTACCTGCTTGGAAAAAACAGAAATAGTAAAAACTATTGTAAAGCATTAAAAGATAATGTAAATGTAACAAATGAAGGTAAAACATATGATGCGAGTGAATTTTAAAAGTTTCATTGGATATAATGCATAAATTGCTTCTCCCTGTAACTTTGAATCGCATACCAATTAGCGATTTGTTTATATTTGTTTTATTTAATATTATGAGATTAAAAATAGTTAAATGATACGAAAATGTTATATAGTGTCTACATATTCATATTTAAAGTTAATTTTCTGTTTCTCATGACCATGTATTAACGGTAAGTTTGAAGAAAACTTTAAATTCGGTTTTCTCAAAATAAAATTTTTCGCAGTTTGTATGTCTTGAAAATGATCCATGCGTCTCATTTTTAGTTAAAAATGAATGATATTTGGAAGAAACTATCTTGTTATATGTTGCAATAGATATGTGTATGCGTTTTGGGATATGAGGTTTTTAAGAAATTTAAACTTGTGATAATACTTAACAAAAGGTGATATTTTTCCGAAAACTGGGTCTAAGTTCACAAAAATCCTTTTTAAAAATTTCTGATCTATCATATTCAATAACGGATACACAAAAACTTTTGTCAAGTCTTGATAACAAACTTAAAGGAAAAATTAGGAAAAATATAGAAAATTAGCGCGCAAGGAGCATTTTAAATCTTTAATTAAAATAATTAATTTGGTTAAATTTTTTTTTATTTAAAATAAATTAAAAGTTTGAACATATATTTTATAAACTGATGTTATAATATGTATATGTATAAAATTCCTTGTTGAAAACACAAAAGCTTAAAAAACTAATTTTTAAAGTCCACCGTCCCCTTAAATTGTTGATAATTGTACAAATATTGCTTCCAGAATTACGAAAGGTATAAAAACTTTAACCGGAAGATAAAAACAATATAATTCAATCATTTTTAAAGCAAAAAATGTATAATTTACAAACATATAAGAGTAAAGAAACTGAGATTACTGAGCCGGGTAACAGAGTGGATATATTTATAAATATATTTATATACGTTTGGCGCGGCCGATTGAAACCAAAATACGAGGTGCACTTCTACATGTTATAGTAGTCCTTATATACAAAATTTCAACGTTCTGAGGCTACTCGTTTTTGAGTTATGCGAGATACGTACGAACGCACGCACACGTACGTACATACGTTCGTACCAGCCGCCGCCACGAAAATTCTCTTCAGAATTCATTTTAAATCAGTTTTTTAGTTTTTTTGGAGGAAAAGAGTCTTTCATTCTGTCCTTAATTACAGATATCGCGCAAAAACATCGTTAAATTGCATTCGAAAGCGGTCAAAGTGGATATTTTCGTTGAAATATGCTGCCTGAAGCTTTTCGCGATTACAATACTTCCTTTTTACTTCGTACAAGGAAGTAAAAACAAGGCAATAAGTTTAAAAAGGGGGAAACGTATTAAAAAATTCTACGAAATAAACATAATACGAAACAAATTATGAAATTTATTTATAAGTAAACATATTTATGCAACAAACGTGCTATCTACTTATGATAGTTATCGCCTTATATAAGGAATATTACTGACGAATTATCATATTACATATAATAATCATATTACAAATAAATCTTAATTTTTCAAGCCAAGAAATAGTCAATGATGACACCAGATAGAAGCATCCTTTCTTGCAGATACAAAAAGAGATGATCTAACGAGAAAGATCTATAATAGAGCTAACAATTTGGTTGTTTCTTCAATAATGATGCTTGAAATTCGAAAGCTATTGATTGTGTTTCCGTAAACATTTTAAATAACATAATGAATCATAGCTTGTTCTTTCTACTGAATTCTGCACGGGATAGAAAATACAATTAATTCTGAAATATTAATATTTCATTTTATAGTGGAAAATATTATAGTTTACAATACTTTACATATTTTAGTTGAAATTACACATATACTTTCATTACTTACGTACTATATCGAGCTTCAAAATCGTTAACATTTTTATGATAACTTGAAAAATAAAAGTGAATTAAATTAAATTTTTAAAGATGAATGAATCATTTCTATTAAAAAAACAGCTCATCTAATTTTATTTTTACAGTATAAGATTCAAAGATTATATTTTTAATTATTACTATTTTCGAGTATTGCAGAAAGACACAGTTTATAAGTTTTTTTAAATGACTAAAAAATGGTGTATAGGTTTAATTTGAGTCTTTCAATTCACTAAAAAAAGATGTAAAACCGAACATGCTTTTTAAAATATTATTAGCATCATTATTATTCTAAATATCTATTATTAAAGAATTTGTTTAGTGGTCGTAAATCGTGGTTTAAAATTTAGCAAAACAGAGTTTGTTACTGTTATTTAACTCAAATTTCTATCGAACTTCAGAATAGCATTTTGAAGCTGAAAACCTATCTATAACTAATAGGTACAGGTAGTAAATAGTATAGGGCACACCAGCGATGTCCATGAGATGACTGGAAATGCCTTCCCACAGTCCAGTGTTTACTAAAAATAATGATTTATGACTTAAAGAGATTACAGTATAATTTACATACAATCTGAAATTCTCAAATTAAATTGAGAACATCTGTTTTGAGTAGCAAAAATAACAGATAAACATAACAAGATAAATTTAATGATAAATGGATACTGGGAACACTATGTTATAACAAACAGTACTAAAAATACAAAAGAGGTCTCCACGAGGTCACATCATTTGAGAATAAAATCAAAAAACACTGTGAGTAAGAATCCGAGAGCTTAGGGAGTTGAGAATGTAAAAACTGGGAATACAAAAAAATATTTTGATTATTTGATTTATCAACACAATTTTAAATAAGATGTTTAAAATATTATGCTGTACAAGGTTATTATAGTTTATAATGTTCACAGGTGAAATCCTTTTGAACATTAATTCACAGTATGTTAAAGTTCATTAAATTTATGCAGCATGAGAAACTTATACTTAAGAAAGATCTAGGCCGTAGGAGGAGAATCGTTGCATTACTTTTTAAAACTTAGGATTCTCATATTTATCTTTAATTAGAAACTTTTGGAATGCCAGAAGATCCAATGGTGGGGATTTTGTGTGATTATCCTCAGTAGAAGGCATGAGAAAGTTTAATGATTAGGAGTTCTATGTTCCTCACATATATAGATTTCGGAGTTCGTCATATTTCTTACGCAGAAATATGTGGGGAGTCTATGAAAATACCAATCTATGGCTAATACAAAAAAAATTAAATATATTGGCTGTTTGTGAAAAATAGAAGTTAGGATCAAATTCACATATCCCAAGAGCGAG